TGTCAATAATAAAACAGTTTTTCCGTCTGTAAAGAAAATCCGGAGACATGCTGTAGTCTTCATTTACAGTACATATTATAAATTCTATTCATAATATGTACTTACCTACAAATTTACACTTAACCCTAGGACTTGGAGTATCGTAAACACAATATATTGATAAAAGTAGTGCTTCCTTTAGTGTTTACCAAAAACTGATCTAAAGCTGCAGGTAAAACTGCCAGTGTGAACGCAAGTATTTAATCCGTTTTACCTGACCCGTTTAGATGACAAGCAAAACGTAAGGCAAAACCTTATGTGTAGATAGAGTTTTAGATAGATACTACTAATTGAGAGATACTGAACCGAGCAAATTCCGCACTGCCAAAAATAAAATAGAGACAAATGATCTACATTTAGCACATAATCAACATTACATTCCCCTGTCGTAACTACAGCTGTGACAATTTATTTTAAAGCATTACTCCATAAATTTTATTTATATACATAACATCGAATAGCTTTTATGCGTCCTTGCGGATACCAAAAACACTTTAAACTATTTGCTTTGAATTATAATTACACTTTTTAAATAATATAGATACAAGTGTTTCAAAATTATATACATCAACTAAAATTAACACAAAAATTAAAAGTGTAAAGAATAGTTTGCATATTAATGCAAACTCTATTTTCTTTCCTATTTATCTTTTTTTCATTAGAAAGAAATTTGTTTTTAAACATTAAATTAAATATTGCACGTTATGTAGACAGGGTGAGTTTTAAATAAGTGCAAATATTTTTAGAGATAGTATATTTTTTGGACCCCAGAAACACGATTATGAGTTTTTTTCGCGAAAAAAAAATTGGAATTTTTTTTAGTTTTTAGTTAAAATCCATAATTTTTGATAATATGGCAATATAGGCAGTAAATTAACTTTACAGGAAAGAAACCTCAGAAAAGATCCAGTGATTCTCAAAATGTTGGGGAATTTTCAAAGTAAAATAACTGAGTTATTTTGGATTTATTTGAAAAACAGCAAGAGAAAGTATGTTTCTCCAAAAAATCCTATATGGGTATTTCGCCACTGCAAGAAAATCTACAAAATAAAATAGTTATTTTTTGTAAACACTTCTGCGTTAATCCAAACGGAAACTACTTGTCAGAAGTTAGGTTTACAGATATAAAAAATTTGCGTAACGAAAAAAAAAATGCTTAACGTTTCGGAAAGTTTATCTGTTTCCGTCGTCGGAAGCAAAAAGAAATACAAATAATAAAGAAAAACCCTATTTAAAATATTTAAATTCAACTATTCGAGAACACTTTAGTTTTTTTAAACAGGTACGTCTAAAAAACCGTTGACGTTCTGTTAAAATGACATTATGTCAAGTTAAACTTCAAAATTAACAATTACTACCTGATAACAATTACTTAATGACATTATGTCAAGTTAAACTTCAAAGTTAACAATTACTACCTGATAACAATTACTTAGGTAAAACCAAAAAACCCCAAACTTTCTGTATGATTATTTTTAATTTTTACGTATGTTATGTTTATTTATGTTATGTTCTTTAAAATCAAAGAAGCGATTGCCATACATTACTAACATCTACAGATGCATGAGCAATACATTTATTTTTATTAGATTGTATTAAAAAACCTATATTCTTTTTCTTTTAGAGGCTATCGCTTTTTTCATTACAATTTTTGCATTGTTAAAATCTATTCTGTGTCCTGTGTCCCATGAATGCTGACAAATCTTAGATTTATGAAAGTCGCCCTTTCTTAAATAATCTTTATGTTCTTTAATTGGAACATAAGGGTCTAGAAAAGGGTCTAGATGTTTCACCAATATAAAATGTCTCACATTCACATGGTGTTTTGTATAATACATTTTTTGTTTGTTGTCCAGTGTGTTAAAATGGATCTAAGTGTATTTTGTGTTTTGAAAGATGTTCGTTTGTTATATTGTTTTCTCATCCTTCTTATTTTTTTCCGAAACGTATGTATGGAATTGTAAGTTGTATATATTGTGTATTGGTTATCATTGTGTGTATTCTGTCTATGATTTGGGATTTGTATGTCGTTTAATGCTTTGTCAATAAAAGATGGTGGATAGTCGTTTTTAAATAATAATAACTAGTTGAAGCCTGGCGCATCCGCCACGACATCAGGAAAAAAAATCTTTTTATTTTAGTATTGAAAATACTTCTGGCCGCGTTTATATGGGACCCATCTTTGAAAAAACGACATGCTAGAGCCGCATGGATTCGATAACCTGCCTGTCAACACCTCGATAGTTTAGCCGGCATTATAGGAAAATGGAATAGGGCAAGGTCGTCCGAAGGCCGAAATTAGGTAGAGGTCGTAAATAAAATGATCCATAATGTTAAAATACGCTTCGAAGTGTTAAAAGTGTTGAAAATTGATTAAAATCTGTTAGGTTTAAGATATTGGTGAGTACTTTTTGAGTTTTAAGTCAAGTATGTAGGTGAGAGAAATATTATGCGATTTATTCGATTGTATAAGCCGTGAAGCTAATAGGGTGTATGTTATATTTTATGAATATTTCATTTAATTTATTTCGTAACTGTGAGTCTTGTAAGCTCACACTCTATTCGTAAACAATAAGGTATTATCCTTATTATGGTACTTACGCTTAATTTTATATGTATGTATATAATTTTGTATTCTCTGTTTAATGTATTTGTACACCATTTTTTTATATATTTCTTAATTATCCTATTATTTAACAGTATCAAAAGTAATGTTGCCTCCCATTTTTATACAGGGCGGTAAAGTTTTCAGGAAATCAGTTTTTTTATAATAACACTGATACTATTTTAAATATCTTTATAAAATTTAGTACACGTCTTCCATGTATCAAGATGTATTTTTTCATATAAAAACAGTTCTGTAATTTTAATTTCAGTTGCGTCCTTACGGGATTGGGTTAGTTAATTAAATTTGATTTCTTGATTTTCTTAAGAGTTTAATAGCGAAGTGCTTTAGACTTTAAATCGATACATATGATAATATTCTTTTTTCTCCGAAATTATGGAATTGTCTAGTTGTAAAATTTATTGATTTTAGTATACTTTAGTTGTTATCAATATAAGTTAAAAAGACGCTAACTTCCTTATTGCATTTTTTAATTGATTAGCAATTTTTTTGATTTTATCCAGTGTGTAAGCCACCAATGCACATGTCATATTTTGCACCCATACCTCATATTTGTATTTACCACATTTTAAATTTATATGTATGCATGTATGTTATTTTTGATTGTAATATAATATTTGCTAAACTTTCTATCATGTTTTATGTATTTGTATATCATTTTTTATAACTCCCGAAATTTTCACATTATTTTACAGTCGACATCAAAAATAATGTTGTCTCTGCACTTTGACGTAATATACGTATAAGTATTTGTTAAAACAATACTCGCCTATTTTATAAACATCATTACTTGAAAAAAAGATACCTATTTGGCTTATTTAGGTATATCCACTAATTTACTTGCACTTCGAAGTAAAATTCATTTTCGAAATACAAGACGTTTTTGAAAATGAAAATGTCTAAGCACCTCTCGTATCCCAACGATCTCATAACTTATCGAAAAGGTAAAAACTAATGGTCGTGTAAATTTTGAACCTATTGAATTATGCTAGAACTGCTTTTTCCTTGTAAATTATGACAGTTAAAACTTAATTATTTTTTTTTATTTCATTATCTCTTGGATGGTCTATTTAATCATTATCAATTTGTTGTTCTCCTTTGTGGCTTTATACAGGCGTTGGTGACAGGCCTCTGGACAGGCACACATGTCAAAGATATTAAAATTGAGGGTCTTAGAATCCTAATCCGGCGTCCGTTTGTAGTTCATCGTTCCGTCATACCAGTAAAATTGAAATATTATCTGTCATTTTTGAAATAAACCAATAAAACTGGTTAAAAACAATAAGAGACGACATATGACGGATTTATATTTAAACCCATCCATAGCTAACTTAAAAAATATTGGAAACTTTTTTTAGTAAAATAAATAGATTGGTATGGGATGTCATCTGCTTTTCTTGTCATCGTCTGTCTTACCTGAGAAAAAAAACAGAGTATACATCGATAATCTAATCAAACTGGTAGTTTCGACCTTTAAACCGATATTAATTGTTATTAGGTTTACTTTCTTATTTTTCAGAATTAATATTAAAAAATTATAGGTACCTACCGTTAAAATATGAAATTTTGTTTCAGATTTATATTTAATTAATAAAGTCCAATGCAAGAAACAACATAATGAAACCACCATCACTAAGTGTCAAGATTTTATATTTATGGTTATTACTTTAGAAAAATAATAAAAACTTTTTACATTAATTTTTATTAATATAATTTATTTTTGCTGCTTACCGCCACGACCTTACATTGCATGGTTTCTGTAACCAAGAAATAAATATCACAGTTCAGTAGTAAACATTATAAGGGTGACCGTAAAGTATCGAATAAGTTCATTTAAAATTAAAGGGTGTGTAAAAAAAGTTTTTTTCTTCGACAACCGCCGACTTGTGTCTTTTCAATACGCCTATGATGGTTGCGCATGTTGCAAAATCTGTGAATTTTTTTTAATTGAATGAAAAACGAAAAAATCCGGCGAAGACAGTTTTTAGAAGAGCCAATTAGCTATGTTTTAGTAAAAAAAAACAACTTTCTACAGCAAGTCGTTACTTCAGTAGAGACGACACAGATAAACATTAGCATTTTATATATTTAGATAATCCATTAAAATATTCAACAAAGTTGAGTTGTGTTTACGGTTTGATTTTCCGGATATTTTTTCAAGTTCCGGTCGTACCATCTCGGACACTTTAAGAAAAAGAGGAAAAACCCTGACATGTCCGGGTAAATCTGGACATATGGAAACCTTAATTGTTGTAGTTGACTCCAAAACAATATTTTTAATAAGTTAGAGGTTCTCCATGTTTAAGGACATCAAGATCAAAAAATACTAGATATATTGTAAAAATTAGAAATCTTTATTTTTCATATAAATTTTGTTAAACATATTTTTTTTACGAATTCAATTTTGCTAAAAATATGGTATTGAATCTCTCAAGACCTTCTGCATTAGCATCGAAAAAGTCTTCTTTCTTCAGTCTGTCAATGTAAGCTACAATATTGGGAAAATCTTGGTCAAAGTCTTTCACAAAGAACTTCCAGCATGTTGCTGTAGTAATGATACTAAAATCTGCAATTGACAGTTCATTTCCGACAGCATATTTGGTGTTTTGGAGTTCCAGTAATTTATCCAGAAAAGAAAAACCTTCTTTCAATAAATCCAAGTATTTTTGGTCGGGTTTGATGCCTTGAAGTGCGAGTGGTTTCTGTAAATTATATTAAAAAAAGCAACCTTAAATAACTATTTATTATCATATAATACATTTATTTAAAAAAAAGTTCTTTTCAGAGTTGCTTCGTTTTTAAACCTAGCCAACGTGGCCATCGTCTATTCTTTGTTAATCTTTCTATAATTTTTGTTAATTTTTGATCAGTTTTATGTGAATTTTTAGTAAATGACGTCTAGAGATTGACCTCGCCAAAAATATTATTGATTATCATTCCTTAACCGTCTTTGACGCCGTTTTTTTTTCGGTCATACAGTATAACATATACTCAACTGTTATAAGGAATCCTCTTGCTGTCAGTATACTCGAATCCAAGTGAAAACGGTGGTCTATGGTTGCCCGTCTTTTTATGTCGTCTTTGGGGTATAAGGGGTCGTTTTTCTTACCATACTTGCCCACCAAATAACCCATTATGGCGTGGCTGTCGGCTAATATGAACCCATCGTCGTCCAGTAATGGTATAGTATGTTGGGGGTTCAACTAAAGAAAAAAATTATAATTAAATTAGTATGAATAGCAAAACGAGTTAAGTTTTAGGTGACGATTATAGATAATAGATATGTATCTTAAGTGTAAAGTAGCAATTTATCTATGCTCAATCCTAATGCTTATTATGATCGTTAATCCTGTATTGTACAGGGTGGCACCTTACGACGCGGAGGCTCCAAGGAGAACGACAGCTTGTATTGAGATGAAGTTTTGTGATCATATGTAGGTTAATTTAGATCATTTTTTAGAAATATAGAGAGTTTTACAGGATGTCCCCAAAAAAGTTACACATCAAAGTTGTGTTTTTTGAAATGGAACACCCTATATACTAATTGATTTTCGACGATTCTGACAAAATAAATTAACAATAAAAAAAATCTATATCTACCACCTATATTGTATATTTCAATTTGTTTTAATGTCATAGTAACCAATTTGTCCCAGTGATGATACATTTAGTAATCTCACCGTGGGTAATTTGAACCATTTGACGCCATTTATGCAATATTAATATAATAATATAATATTAATATTGCCCATTATTATAAAAGGGAATGCATGTCCTACTGAAAATATCACATTTGCATATAAAAGTTATCTTTATGCACTTGTTGAGTGCTTACACAATGTAAACAGTTTTATATGGCCAAATTTAACTTATTTATATTTCTTCATATTGAGACTACATATTATACAATACATATTTGAATATTTGTAGCAAAGGGTAGTACCGCATAATCGAAAAAAACGGCGGCTACATGTGTGGAAGTTACGATCGATGACATTCCCTATGTAATTTTGCATATAAATGACACATGATACAAAGAATACAAGGTATGATATTGCGCAGGTTGGTCACTACGTCACAGGTGATAAACGGCACCATTGGTCGGCAAGTTCCGCGCGCCAATTTTAAATTGTCAAACAGATGACACAATAAATGTGAAAATAATTTTTCAAATGTCAAGCTCGATGATTTGACTATGTTTGACATAACTTTTGGGGTTATGTCCTAATTCTTCCCTATTTTATGTCTTTTTTAATTAGTGGCAATTGCACAATATGGATATTTTTGTGGATGGCGTATGACGTCACAGGTGGTATGCGCAAACTTAACGAGATTGGAACCGCTATCGATCATACCTTGTTTTCTTTATACCATGTAAATGACATGTCCAGGAACAGAATATGCATACAGGGTGAGGTCTCAAATAAGTGCAAATATTTTGAGGTCTGGTAGATCTCGATAAACGAAATATAATTTCGCTTTGTCGTTTTTCTAATAAGTAAAATTAAAACAAACTTTTTCTTAAATTTTGAGAACTACTAAATTTTTTTCTGATTTTCAACGTTTTTTTCACGAATAAAAACTCAAAGGCGTATTTCTGGAGTTGAAATATATCTCCCCTAAATATATATGCACTTCTTTAAGATCTACTCTGTATAGTCTGTCCAACGAGAAAGAACATAAAGTAGAAATACTTAAAAGAGACTATGTTCTTGATTAATGAAGAAGACAATGTTTTATAATATTGAATTAGCAAATTTGATCCCCAAAAGCTTAAACATAAATACACTCCTCAAAAAATTATTTATTGCATATTTAAAAAAGTAACTATTATATATTTCTACATGAACTATGTATTTCTTGCCTTCTTCTTGTGAGTTCTTTAAGGTTTGAATTTCCTTTTACGGTATCCAAACTATTTAAAAATGTAATTCAGAGAATCAAGGGGTCTTGTTTTCTAAATTAATATACAAGGCGAGTTTTAAATAAGTGCAAACATTTTTAGGGGTAGTATATATTTCGACCCCAGAAACACGTTTATGAGATTTTTTTCGCGAAAAAAAAATTCGCAAATTTGGATTTTTTTTGGAATTTTTTTTTAATTTTTGATTAAATACATGATATCTTCATAATGGCAACATAGGTAGTAGAAAAGATCCAGTGGTTCTCAAAATTTAAGCAAAAAATCATTTTTTTTTAATTTTCAAAGTAAAATATCTCGGTTAATTTGGAGTTATTTGAAAAACGGTAAAGAGAAAATATGTGTCTTCTTACCGGCCCTGAAAATATTTGCACTTATTTAAGACTCACCCTGTATATTTTTTTTAAATATGAAATTATTGTATTGAGTAATTTAATAAAAAATGCAGTACCTTAACAAAACCTTCCTTGAGGTGTTCTCCGTTTAACAAATCTACACGAACGATCTCAAGTTCTATACCGAGAACTTTGGCACACATCAAAACCGCTCCATACGGTGGACTTCCGGCTATTCCATACAGTTTTGGGGTCATTTTCGGAAATAGTAATAAAACTTTTACTTTTTACCTTTTTTTTATTAATTTTTTTTACTCCCAACAACAACGAGATGCTTTAAATGACTAGGTAAAAATACCCGATCTATTTTATTTTTATCTTCTAATCTTTTAATTACACGCAAATAAGTGGATACAGAGTCGGAATTAGATTTATTTTTCAGTAATGTCTAATATAAAACTCATTATTATTTATTTCACATTTCTATTAAATATTTCTAGTATGTATATAAAAAAAACAGTGTGTGCACTATGTGCGCATATTTGAAGTGATACTTCTTACTAAGTTATTAAATTGAAGTATTTGAAGGACATATGTTTGAAAAAGGGATGTATAATGCTGTGTTATTATAAATATTATTTTCAATTTATTTCTGGACATTTTCTGTTTCCCCAATAGCCTGCAAATTTTGTGGAATACCACCCAAAATACACACTTTTATGCAAATGCCTAATAATGTTAACATTGTTAACGCTTAAATCTTAGACGAGGAAAGAGAGGGGACAGCTAGCACGCATATTCTCCAGTGAAAAATTTTTGAGGCCAAAATTTGATCGGCGGCCATACTTTGGTGACAAGATTTCGAGGTGACACCAAGCGAATTTTTATGTTTTTTGTGAATATTGATTTGTTTTAGATTTATAAACTGTGTTGTTTAGTATGGTGAGATGTTCGGCGTATGGCTGCAAAGGCTGAAGCGAGAAAAAAATTACTGGAATTACATTTTACAGGTAAAAGTTGATACACAACTTGTGCTATATAGTCATAAAATGTACATTTTTTTCATTATAGCAGTAAAAATATGTTAAATGCTTCTAATATGTCTTGTACCACATCCAAAGCAAACTATTTTTATTAATTCCAAGTAGTATTTTCAATATCCTATATTATAATTAATGTTTGAAACTATAAATAATGCTACTCAGACAAGATTTCTCCAGTGGCGTAGGGTGTTATAATCAGAGAAATACAATTTCTGCAATAAACATTTTTTTATATATTTTACATGTAAAAAAAATGTATAAAGTATTGTTATCAAATATGTAAAATAATAATTGTGAACTAAAAAAAAACATGAAAAATTTGGGTTATAAAAAATCTATATGTAAAGTTGTTACATAAAACTTAAATTTACCTGCCAAGATTTGCTGGGGGTGGACAAACTTGTGGTGGGCTACTTGTTACAATATTTTTTTAAATGTCCTTTCAAAAAATTTGCTAGTTTAGGTGTGTAATAATAGTTTCAATGAGTAATTAATAAAAATTTTTGAAATAAATAAATAAAATATAAATAAATAAATAGTGCATATACACGTTTAAAACTTATATATTTACATTATTTTTTATTTAATTATACATTATACACACGTTAACAAATAAATAATTGTCTTGATGATCAGTTCACTGTGACTGTTAAATAAATTTTGCATTATCGGCTTAGATATTCTAATATTATAAAGGTGACTAAGACTATAAAATACAAAATTGTATATGCATTAATATAAATAATAAAAAAACGATATATTAGTTAACGTTTTAATAAATATTTTTTATCGTCTAGGTACAAGCTAATTTCTGATGCTACGCCATTGGAGAATTTCGCGTGGTGACAAATGGCCTCACTTTCAGCTGCCGTGTTACCTGTCCCCTCTCTTTCCTTGTCTAAGGCTTAAATTTATTTAAAAAGAAAACTTTTTGAACCTAACCAACAATTGGTATTTATAGTGATTTATACAGTGCCTTCTATTAAAAGATCAGCCTACCGGCGAGATTTATGACGTCACGCTAGTTAGATATAACGGATTAGTAAATATGTTGTAGAATACATGGAAAACATAATTATTCCTCAGATTTTTGGTTGGTATTTTAAAAATGATATAGTTTACATGAAATATATATAATATACAGTTAATGACTACAACATATATACCTATTTATAGTAATAAATACTTTGGCAAATAAACTATGAACCATACAAATGCAGCAAATGTTTTACAATGTACAAATAATGTATAGGTACATAAGATAATGGGTAAAATGTAAATATATTTTAAATTTTGGGGTTTGAAAATCGATCTATTTTAACAAAAAACATTCAATATCTACTAGTGATGTATTATTATTTGCATTCACAAAATTTATATGTATATTTTGCAAGTATCAATGTTGGAAAAATTATATTTACAAATAATACAATATTATCTAAAAAAAGGCGTCAGCGATGGCTATGAAATGAAGATCGCTGGCATTTTATATGTAAAATAATTCTAAAATTTTTGATTTTCTTGGGATTTTTAGGTTTGGGAAAAACGCTGATTTAAGTTTTCATTTGGGTTTTCATTATTTTTATTTGGTTTAAAAAAAAACGTTTCGGCTAACTATAGTCTTCATTAGTGTTGTGTCATATGAGAAGAGAAAAATAGTGTCGAATATAATCCAAAAAATTACATATACAATATAATTCACACCTCATAATGTTTACTGCAATTAATAAACTAATATAAACTTATCAAAAGATGACCATATATTTTTTAAAATTATTATTCTTAACACTAAAATTATCTACATTGACTATGGAGTACGCAGTAAACATTATGTGCGTGGTGTGAATATTCTATATGTAATTTTTTGGATTATATTCGACACTATTTTTTTCATATGACACAATACTGATGAAGGCTATAATGTTAGCCGAAACGTTTTTCTTAAACCAAATAAAAATAATGAAAAACCAAATGAAAACTTAATCAGCGTTTTTCCCGAACCTAAATCCCAAGAAAATCAAAACATTTAGAATATTTAGAAACAAGGTTCAAGAATATCAAATTTTCCAAGATTGTAAAATTCTAGTTAATTATTTTATGTGTACAGTTATTTAGGGAATGTCATCGATGTTCATTTGCAAGCCAACTAGACGCCGATTTTTTTCGATGATACGGTATAATTCTTACGTAAAATCAAAGAATATTATAGTTTTAAGAACTCTCGTGTGGAAGCTTTAGCGATTTGTCATACGGTGGCGCTTTTGAACATAATCGAAGCCTGAAAATGCTAATATTTTAAATTTTGAGGACTACGCGCGGCGATATTTCGTACGGTGTTGCCAAATATATTTTATTTCTCGATATTTAAAGAAATATGTATTAATTATATATTTCGTATATTCGTTAGTACATGAGGCATCCTAAGGCTATGAAAAAAAAAACGTAGCTGTGAAAATAAAATTTTAGATTTTTAATTTTTTTGTACCTTCTAATAAAAATTATTCCAATAAAAAATTAACTAGTTTGATTATGTGTTATCTGTGCTAGTATTAGGAAACTGGAGTAAATACGGAGAATATTAATTCGTTCTCTAAGATGAGCACTACTAAGTAATTTTTTAAAATTCGACCCATAAGGGGGTGTAATTAGATAAAGGGGTGTAATTAAACAAAAAAAAATCTGTACCTACTAGGAGTATGAACTTTTGCACAGATGTGGCGCATTTGAACATTGATAAGCGATTTTTGGAAATGTATAGCCTAAGGGTAGTAAAACTGGGAGGTGAAATTTTGTACAAAAAATGTTAGTTCTAGGAGTATGAATGTAGAATGTAGAATGTTTAGAAGGGGAGTTAATCACCGCGACCTTATAGATCTATTGTGTGTTCCCCTTTCTTGAGTTATAACGAGTTATAACTCATCATACAGTCTCAGGGCTTTAAGAAAAGCCAGTATCTGAGACGGCTCCACAGAGGCCAGCTCTCCATCCTCGACATCAGACGTGCCAAGGTTCATGGCACGAATGGTCGTCGTCTCGGCGCACTCAGTGATAAGGTGTTCTGGTGTTTCCCCATTTTCCCCACAAAATCTGCATTCGCCGTTGTTTCTCAGTTTCAGCCTACTGAGGTGTTCGTTGAGGAGACAGTGTCCTGTTAGAAACCCCGTGACAATCCGAAGATTGTTTTTACTTAAATCAAGGAAAACCTTTGATTTTTCTCGGTCATAAGTTCTTAGGAGTATGAAATTTTGTACAGAGTTTCCTTAAGTGACGAAAGTGAGTACCTAGAAGCTAATTTTTGACATTCATCCCTTAGAAATAAGGGATGAAAATTTGTACAAAAGGTTAAAATCGGTTTTAGAAGTATGAATTTTGCAGACGTTCCTTATGTAACGTAATTTAGCATTAAGAAGCAATTTTGGAAATTAGCCCTCTAAGGGTGTGAAATGAGGGGTTGAACGTTCTGGAACAATAAATTCTGTTCAAGGAATATGAAAATTTGCACAGAGGTTCCTTATGTAGCGTAATTGAATAATTAGAGTAATTTTTGGAATTCATTCCTTAAGGGGGTAAAACTAGGGGTGAAAATTTGTATAATTTTTTTATGTAAAATCCGTTCTAGGACTAGGAGTATGAAATTCTGTTCAGAGGTCCCTTAAATGATGAAAGTGAGTACCTAGAAGCGAATTTTAGGCATGCATCCCCTAAAAAATAAGGGATGAAAATTTGTACAAAAATTTGTTAAAATCGGTTTTAGAAGTATGAATTTTGCAGACGTTCCTTATGTAACGTAATTTAACACTAAGAAGCAATTTTTGGAAATTCGCCCTCTAAGGGTGTGAAATGAGGGGTTGAACGTTCTAGAACAATAAATTCTGTTCAAGGAATATGAGAATTTGCACAGAGGTTCCTTATGTAGCGTAATTGAATAATTAGAGTGATTTTTGGAATTCGTTCCTTAAGGGGGTAAAACTAGGGGTGAAAATTTGTATAATTTTTTTATGTAAAATCCGTTCTAGGACTAGGAGTATGAAATTCTGTTCAGAGGTCCCTTAAATGATGAAAGTGAGTACCTAGAAGCGAATTTTAGGCATGCATCCCCTAAAAAATAAGGGATGAAAATTTGTACAAAAATTTGTTAAAATCGGTTTTAGAAGTATGAATTTTGCAGACGTTCCTTATGTAACGTAATTTAACACTAAGAAGCAATTTTTGGAAATTCGCCCTCTAAGGGTGTGAAATGAGGGGTTGAACGTTCTGGAACAATAAATTCTGTTCAAGGAATATGATGATTATATATGATGATTTGCAC